TTAATGATATTGTGTTAATGTGCTATCTTATAATTTTATTTGTACTTAGAAAAACAAAATATCTATTTATTTATCTACCAGCACTTTTATGTGTTAACGTACTTGCTCATTAATTATTTTCTACAATTATGTTATTAGTATGCACACAATGCATTCCTATAAGACAAATAAAATCAATTGTATGTGGCTACTATATAGAATACACCTTGCACTTTATAATATATAAATTTAAAACTTAAATAAATAACAATATTTATACTTCACTTCAAAGCTTTTCAATCATAAACACGTTCGTGAATACATTTAAAACAATAGTTTATTCAGTTAAAAACCAAAAGAGTTCAAACAGACCGTAAATCCTTAACCACTAATAACTATTTTAAATTTTTGTATTTTTTTCTGAAATTAAATTTTTAATAAAAGTCATTATGAGTGTGAGATCGGTATTGAATAATTTTAACAATTGTTTGTTGATTTGCGGTGTTGGTAGTATAAACTATAGGCAGAGCAAATGTAAGAAGAAGTTCGTGTTATATTATGTCTTGAGAAGTATTTTAATTTGTGCTGATTTGTACGTCTTTTACTTGGTCAACTTATGGGTAATAACAGTATTTAATTTAACTTTAATAGTTTCTTATGGTTGTACACAATTGATACATTGTAATAACATAATATTTTAATACATTTTTGTTTTCTTGACTTCGAATAAACTCCATTATATCTATAGATATATATAACTACTAGATTGCCGACTTCCCGCACCGTCAATGTATTGCATTGAAGTTGGGCGCCATATTCTGTGTGGGGTTTTTTTACATCTGTTATCACATATTATTATGATACCTTATAATATAAAAATATATAATAATTAGTTTTCATCATGTGAATTTTAAAATTATTTTTATACATTTCTGATGTATTGCAATTTATAATAATTAACAAATAGTCAAAAAGTATAATATTTATCAAATAAAACAAAAAGTAAATCACAAAACAACTATTTACTGAATTGGTATTATAAATGAATATAATACAATTTACAAAATATGATTAAAGATCCATAAAAAAACAAAATGCTTAGAACTTGTAAGTTGAAAATATTGTAAATACTGCAAATAAACTGTAAAATTATTGTAATAAAAGTAAAACAATACAACTAAAATAATTAAACTTTTTACATTTTATAAAACTTATTGATTAGTAAATATTATTTGTTTTGTCAATTTATGACGTTTGCTAACTGTATTTGGAATATCACAAGAGTATATTTTACGAAATGACTTTAGTCTGATATTTAAATATCTTTTTGTTAAAAAAGAAATCAAATAAATTATATGGGGCCTTTTTAAAATGTTAACATTTTCACAATTTAAATCACTAAATAAATATGGATTTGCTGTACATTTTTTGATGTTATAAAGTATAACTTTTTACCCAAATTCTTTATATGCAGATTTTTAAAATTGGCAGTAAATATAAGTATCTTTTCTGCTTCAAATATAACTTTAAATGAGCTTTCTAACGGACCATAAAAACCATCTTTATTTTTAAAATGTATATATTTAGAACTAGAAAAAGTTCGACTCTAATAATGTTTGGTGACTTTTTGTTATCAGAGATTGTATACAATACAAACAGACATTCAAACTTATGAAAAAAAATGTCATTATTACCGCGCTTGGCTTGGTTTTTACACCGAAACACAGAACAAGACATTATCATGGTTATAACTTATAGACTTTAAGTTATGGTTTATCTTTATTACCTACGTGATCGAAGACGCAGAAGTACAAATTGACATTTGATATCACTTATATCATGTTATTTATACTTATTATTACTATTAAAAAAGTATATCGGTAATCTTACTTTTCACTATAAGTGTTTTCGCTGTTAAAATATGTCGAGATTTTGACCATCACTATTTGTTTCTCGGGGTTTTTACTTATAGACTCTATGAAGAGTTAGAATTGATATTGACCAACATTACAACATTGGTCTATATCACTATAGGCGCTATCTCACTTCTTAACAACCAAAAAACCTATTTTTTCGACATTTTGCAAGTTTTTTGAAAATCTCTGAATTATTTTATAAAAACCATTTTTCCGGCAATATGAAATTAAACCAAATTTTTAAAGAGTTTCTTCCAGTTTTTTCGGAAAACCATTTTTTTACTATAATCTTATATACCTACGCATTTTATACGACCAGCATCGCCTAAAATATTAGTATAGTAAGTAATTTATTTTTAATATTAATTAAATATACCTGCATTATTGTCGGCCGCTAATGAATATAAGTATTTTAAACAGAATAATAGATTATTTCCGTATCAATATCTCTATACTATTCTATGCCTACTATAAAATACACCTAGCACTGTATAATTTATAAATTAAAAATGTAACTAAATAACAGTATTATTTATTTTTCACTTCAACTTTTTTCTATAATTTTCTATTAATTTTAAAATTATGTAAATGCATTGTTCAAAAGAGTTCAATCACACCGTTAATGATGCTTAACCACCAACTTCACGAACGTATTTTTGTTTGTTTTTTTTCTGAAATAAAATTGTGAATACAAATTATTACAAGTGTGAGAACGGTATTGAATAATTTTAACAAGTGTTGTTTGATCTATGTTGTTGGTAGTATAAAACTATAGCCAGAGAAATTTTAAGAAGTCAGTGGTTTTTTATGTTTTGCGATGCATGTTCATTTTTGTTCGTTTCTATAGCATCTACTTTGGCAACACATGGGCAATAATGTTATTTAATTGTATTTTAATCGTTTTCACGGTAATACATAAATATGATACATTAGAAAAGCATACATAATAGTTTTAAAATAAGAATCTGATTTAAATTGGTCAACCGACGTCTTCCAGTTTCATCAAAACACCAAGGCAATAATAGTTTTACACATGCATATATAATATTTATTATTATTATTTTTTATTTATTATAGATGCAAGGAATATATTGTACTTAGGAATACTCTTGATAAATTCTTAAATTAGATAAACTGGGACCAGGAGTACCAAACATTCTCTCTGAAGCATTCCATCCAGACAATACATAATTTATACATTGGCCTTTATAATCAGGACTGATCTAATCAATTATTTGTAAATAGTATACTAATATTAAGGTATTTTTAGATATAACGTAAACCTTTTTACAATTGTTGCGGCCAATGGCCACCTAGGAGCCGAGACTTTAAATAATAATAAAACTAAATAAATAATTACCTAAAGTTTATTTCTTACAATTTTGTTCTGTGTGGCTCATTCTGATCTTGATGAGCAAACAAATAAAATCGTTTAATAATTTACTATATAAATATATATAATATATGTACTTATTGTACTTATATAATATTATGATGTGATAATTTGTTGTGAAATGTATTTATACAATTTGAATTTACAGGTTTTAAATGGCGACCCGGAAATGTCTGAACTAACGTCTATAATACTTATCAGTTGTTTAGAATTATATTTTATCGGAAATATCATATGTCATTTTTGGAGGGTATTTTTGGATAATCAGCTATCTATGGTATTGAATAAACTTGAAGCAATTCACGAAAAATTGATACGACTGAAAGTGGTCAGCCCGATGAAAATAAAAATAAGCGGTTATGTCATTGGTGGTATTATTATATATGTTAAAGCAAATATTTTAGCTCCACTCTTATGGATGATGAATCAAAAATTAGAAATAAAAGAAATGGTAATCAATAATCATTAGTGTCCAAAAATATGTCATAGCTTTAAAGTTAATGTCCTATAATGTATATGCTGATTTAAAGTAATTTTTTTTTGTTGATCCTTTCCTTTCCCGATGATTAATACTAAATTAAATCTAGTTGATACTTTGGACTCTCCAAGTATAAAAACTTAAAAGTTATGGTTATCATTGACATTTAAAAATATGTCATAAGTTTAAAGCTCATGTTGTATTGTGGAGCATAATTTAATTGCTGATCCTTTTCCACCCATCTTCCACTATTTTACTAAACGTATCGTAAAACTATCAATCTAAAGCAACAAGAGACTTAAATGTTTATTATATTCTATAGTTTACAGTTAATATTATCCATTAATTTTACTAATTCGTTACTTTATTAATTAATAGTACGTAATGACCACTTGTATTATTCCAATGAGGGTTAGTATATTTTAAACGAGTCTGTTGCTTCTTGGAAATACTATAATAATACTTAATAATACAAAATCATGTATGTGACTAATAATTCGTTGGTGCATAGTAATCATGAATACAGCATAGGAGATATTCGACCACCCATATTGCGACACCCAGGATGCGAACTCAAGAAAGTCGTATCGGGGCGTGGGCCGTTAGTATTTCTCGGAACGATAGCTGGCGGACACAGCATCCGTGGGAATGATACTCGTACCAAGAGGGCTAGGAAAAGTAGAGGGTATGCATGCCAGTGATGGCAAATCTATGGCAGGCGAAAAGATTTTGGGGGCACTCGAAAATTTTTATTATCATATGGGACCTTTTTTTTTTTATTAGTTAGAAATCGATGATGTCCCGGGAACTGCTTTCGCATTGCTTCCGCCAATATTAAAGGACCTATATAATAACCTAAACTAACTTTTTTATACTTATACATTAATTATAAAATCAAATTATAGTATAACAAAATATAATATTTTTAATATTTTTTTCATGGCATGCCCTAAAAAAAACTTGATTACTAATTTCAAAAGATTTGCCATCCCTGGGGTAGGCCTATATATAGGAGAGCCCCGAGCCGCCCTTATTCAGATGTGATCTGACTAGACGAGCCAGAGCACCTTCACTCCAGTCAGTCTTTTATTGTATTATTTTGGACTTAGAATAATTTCAAACAGTGAATTATTTGGACTTAGAAAATATTCGATTCAAACAGATTAGTTAATTCACAGTTTAAATTACATTTGTTTGTATTGAATATTAATGAGCTATACCACATCATACATCAGCGTTGCAAATTAAATCAGATACACCTCATCCTATTCCGCTCAACGACCACTACTGAATACATCTTATAATTTTAGGCCACTTTAATGGTTTTACTGGTTTGCGAACGCATTGTGCTGCTTGAATACATGCTACTAATATCATACATAAAGTGGATGGTCTACGTGATAAATGAACAAATTCCGGAAAGAAGATCATGCTTGAGTACATTCAGAGACATGTATTTGGAAGTTCTAGAATGCTTACACCAAGACAATACATCAATATATGGTTTGCCAGTTATTGTTGTTTTTATTGCAGGAAGTGTCGCTGATATCATTGGAAAATTATACAATTCCATATTATTTCCTAGAGACTATATCACTAATCCATATTTAGTAATTGATATCATAGGCTTGTTAACGAAAACAGTCAATCTTCTAGTATTATACATGATCGGTGACGCTACGGAAAAAGAAGTTTTTTAAATATAAAAACTATTATATATTATTTGAATTTATTGTAAAGGTAAATAACTTTTTATAAATGTTATTATTGTTTATCTTTTCACTTTTGTCAATTCTTAGTTATTTCGCAGCGAATAAAACCAGTAAATAATACATTTCTCTATAGATATTAGATACCAATAATAATAAATATTTATTAATTATAATAACACAATACTCACCACAATGATAGGTACCTATTTATATAAGATGCATCTTGTGTTAATATTATCAGTAAAAGGAAGTCATGATTTAAAGATTTCATGTTGTGTTTGGTTAACAGGTGTTTAACTTATTTCAAATTTAATTTTTATAATTTCAGATAAATCGGATAAGTGATATGTTACACCGACGATCCGTAATTGAAAGAAACCCTAGAATTAAACGTCAGGTATAATTAATGTACCTACTTCTAAATTCACTGCATTTAAAATTATAATTATGGAAATGGAATATTTATGTTAATCTTTTAAAATTAGATCAAGATTTTTTTATTACGAAGATTGCATGAACACTATAATTTTGAACTGTATGGAATATGTCATATTAATCTACGACAACTACATAGCTTATCAAGCAAAGCAATTGGATACCTAGTAATTCAAGTCTTGTTCAGATTGAATAAATAATAAACTTGGATACCTAATTGATCGGTTTATAGGCTGATATATCTATATGTAAAGACACTGTGTAAAAATTATAACTGATACTTTTATGTCTACATCCTATTGTATAATTTTACCTATTTTGTAACTGTAAGTAACCATTAGACTACTCACTCAATATTTGCTTTTGTTTATTTATTGCTGTCAAAATATTCAAATTTGGAACATGAAAATAAAAATGTAGCACATGTCATTAAAAAAAGTTAATAGTATGTAATATGTAATATTATTGATTATAAATACTAAATAAATAATGAATAATTACTAGTAATATTAATAAACATTTAATATATTATGTTAATTTTGGTCAAACACTCAAAATCAGAAGTTCGTTTTATAAAAGTTTGGGTCAGTATTATAAGAACTCTAATTTAAGTATTCGATTTAGAATAATTAAGTATAAAAGATTTTTAATTTTCTAACTAATTTCAGATAAGTATGGTATATTATGATGCACTAATAGCAGTCTTATTGTAAAGAATACTTTTCTTTTGTATTCGGAATACCAACCTATTTATTCGAATAAATGAGTACCTATTAAAGTATTCCAAATAGCGAATGCACTTAAAAAATATATTCTGAATATATATAATTTGAATATTTGGAAAAGTATTCGAATTATATTAATAAATGTTTTTCCTCCGATATTATTTGTCACATTTGGAGTGGTTGGAGATTAACGTGGGTCAATCATATTTCATTCAAAGAAAAAAACTATTGTTTATGATTATGACACATCATGTGAACGATTTTTAACAGAAAAATTTGTCTGTAGTCACAAATATAAACTATTTTTAAAAATTTCTTAGAAATTTCTAAAATGTTTTTTTAAACGAATAAATAATACAAAAAATATTATTTAGAATAAGTATTAGAATAATTTTTTCAAAAAGTATTTAATATAGTATTCGAATAATAAAAATGTATTTGAATACATGTATTCAAATACTTTACAAGACTTTATGTAGGTAAGTACGAAAAATATATCATTACATACCTATTTTTAATAATTTATTTATTGTATAGTGTGATGTTACTGTATTATTGGTCCCCCATCTCTTATATATAATATATTATATGTATCAAATATATCAAATAAATCATAAGCATAATTATGTATTTACTATATAAGTATAGTACAAATAATTGTTCACTATTCAAAAATGAATAACTGCAGATACTTGAAATTTACACTGTATGTTTATTATATCAATTTAATACTCCATAAAATATTCAAAATATTTTGACTCGTTTAGAGTTATTTTCAGACATTTTCAATTTTCAAGTTTTTAATGTTTTTTATAAATGACAATAAAATTGTATTTGTTTTAAATTGTATTCGAGCATGATTGAATTACAAGCCGTTTCGAGGATCCCAGATGACAGAGCCATATTCTAAGATAGGCCTAACAAGCTAGCAATAAAGAGTTTTCAAAGGGGAGACTAATTTGAATTCGACAGCTACCCGCTTGACAAAACCGAGGGTTTTGAGAGCTTTGCAGCAGACAGATATACCCTTTTCTTGTAATATCATCGATGCTGCCGGAACTTCTTGCGAATTCCAAGAGGTGTGACTGTAATACCTTCTGTCTCCCATATTATGGTGGACTGTACACTTACGTAATGTATGTTTATTCGTGGGTACCTATGTGAAAATTTTAGAGTATATTATTATATTTTATACAAACAATATGACTTATGAAATATATTTTTTTTTTTGGCAAAAATGAATTTAACTTACAATAGTAGGTACTTATGCTTAGGCACCTAATAGTAAAATAAATTATGTAAAAAAAAGGTGGTACAATTCTTACTAAGCCAAATCTCACACCGGTCTACCCAAATAAACATTTTTTCAGCATTTTTTTTTAAACAAATAGCCACACAAACTCGATGTCTGTGCTAGCGAACAACACAACTTTAAAAACACATCTATTGTTAAACAAATGTATATCTTCATTTATAGTTTAGTTCTATTTGAATTATAGGTCATTATAGTGTTCATGAACATTCTGTTTACATAATGTACCTATACATTTATACAATATGAAAAATTATTTTCGTTTCTACCAATATACTATGTATATTTTATACGTTACTAGCTGATCAGTGCACCTTGTGCCCGTTAAAAATGCCAATTCTATGATATGAAACTAGCTTGTTAAATTACGATCATTATATTATCAGACGACTACGAATTGGTCTCCGGGTTGTCTACTAGTAACATACGAATTGGTTCTCTCAAGCTTTCATGATGATATAACCTAGTTAAATTAACTTTTCAAATCATTATGATATATTTATTTATAAGTTGGACACATATGCTGTCGATGACTTTTGTTTAGGAATTATCAAACTCTTCAACTTTTCTCTAGAACTCGCAATCATATATCTCTCATCGTACTTACTTGAAACTTTTAAATTATATCATTGTATTTTAAACATACAATGACTAATGAAATATATTTTTTTTTGGCAAAAATGAATTTAACCTACTATAATACCAATGCTTAGGCGCCTATTAGTAAAATAAATTATGTGAAAAAAGGTGGTTCAATTCTTACAAAGTCCATACCTCCCACCCGCCCATCCAAATAAACATATTTTCCATTTTTAAACAAATAACCACACAAAAGTGCATGCTTCGCTAGTGAACTACACAACTTTATAACAACACATATATTGTCAAACAAATGTATATCTTAATTTATTACTTATTTCTATTTGAATAATAGTCACTGTTCTGTGTTCACATTGTTCACAAGCATTCTATTTGCAAAGTGCATACATGTAAACAATATGAACAATTATTTCCGTTTCTACTAATGTGTTATACATGTTCGATACATTATGATTATATGATATGTCACAACTAAAAGATTGATCAACGTAGAGTCTATGGTGTGATAGCTTGAGACTTGAGATGCTCAAGACACATTCGTACCCTCCCCCCCCATATACGAGGGTGCCCGAGTATTGAGTAATGATTTTCTAAAATTCTAATTTGAAAAAACTATCAACATAAAGGTCGAATAATGAAATTTTTCTTGTTATTTTATTAATGATTACAGTTTTAAAAATTGGTAGAACCAGTATTTTTTGTGCAGTTGTGGTAAAAATGGTATAATCATACTTCAAATCATCGCATTTACGTTCCTTAAGAAACTATATCTTAAAACCAAAATATGTACGTTTGTCACTTATATATAGATACAAAACAAAAAATTCTCTACCAACTGATTTTTAAGAAAATCTCAGAGATTATATTTTTTATGGATATCAAAAAAGTTTTAAGATTAGTTTTGACTATGCCTAACCATAAACATGATTAAAGCGAATTTCCATTATTGACTGCATAGTCATTGCGTGATAAATTTTTATTTTGGGATTAAGGGCTTAATGGCAGTGGTTTTCAGATATATTTAGCTATACGGAATGAATAATTTGTACTCTGTTATATAATTAAAGAAGTGATAATATGCATTGCCAGTGGCGGCCAAGACACTTGCGTATCATAAAATTGTGATCATACCTATTTAGTCAACGTTTAATCTAAAATGTACCTAGAAGGCTAGAACTAAATCCATTTCGTGACTTAATTGTGCCTGTCTATTATTCCACAAATCAAGGTATATACCGACGACCGGCACGGTTTGCTGGTGAAACCGAGATATAGGTATCTAGTATAATCGGTCTTACAGAACTTGTTAAAACTAAAAAGTAAATAATATGTTAATACCTAAATAAAGGTGGAAACATTTGATATTTTAGATTTACGAATGCAATGTTTCAGTTAAGATAAAGCTTAATATCTAAATTTACGTTAAATATTTGGTCATACATAATATTAAACACTGCTCGCAAACTCATCTAAAACCTGATCAACATAAAATATATTGGACTTACAGAAAATAATCTTCAATTTATTCTTAGTCGTTTTTTGGAAAATATAAATTTTGAAAAATATGTTTGCCCTGGTATTATGCTAGATAATTGGTAGTAGAGTTTACGTGCTTCAAAAAGACATGTATAATTTAAGGAAAAATGTTCTGTAAACTAGTACTTTGGTTTTGAGATAATTTTATGATTTTTCACCAAATTGACCAATGTGAAATAATCGCACAATACCTATACCTATAATAAAATTACATCATACCATGGGCCAACATTTGATCAATCTTTTATCTGTTGATAAACCATACATAAGCGATACACCCGTAACGGCCGTAACTCATATACTATAATATTATGTATACCCATGGCTTAAATATACAAGATTATTGCAATAGTACCCCCACTATATCATTTTATCACGTTAAGGAATTAAAATGGCAGCGTGAGGGGACGACGTATACTGGCTATATTATGATATTATATGCTATGATATGGACCGTACCCTTACGCTGCCATTTTATTTTTATTTGATAACAATTTGGCTATGTGCAATGTACCTTGTATATTTAAGCCATGTGTATACCTATAATTATTAAACTATCATAAAAATTTGTTTGTGTATAGCTACAATGCAACACAGGTTAGTAATGTGGTAATTGGTAATAGTGTAGTAATATGAATTACCTAAGTATAAGTATAATATAAGAAGGGCCCGAAATTGAATGCACTAAAAATGTGTAAAATATGCATGCATTTATGCACTGATTTTTATTCAAATATGCACTTAAAATAAGCACAAATATGTTAACAAAAATGAATATTCTTTAAATTTATTTAGTTTAAAAATGCACATAATTCATCAAATAATTAATATAATAATAAGGAACAAAAAATGATATATGATGTACCATGTACGTTGCATTTTGATCATTCACTCATCTTAATAAGAGTCCATGAATGAAAATCAATTAACATTTAGTATATTTTTATAACATTTCTAAGTTACCTGAAGAGTTACAGTTGACTACTAAAGACTTGAATAAATTTTTAAATAAAAATGAACGTCGTTTTTCAGCAAATATATTCTTGAATCGAGAAAAACTTCGTTGTATGCAGCCGTTGGAGATATTGGGGCATACTTTAAGTATACCAAGTCACTGCACGAATGGTCGTCCGGTATATTGGTCATTGAAGTATTTTCTCCAGCTATAATTTTGGATATATTTGATAACTGCCGAAATCCGTCATTTTTTTCAATGACATTTTAAAATTTATT